GTCCTTTGTGGCTCCTTAGCAGTCCTTAGCGGTCCTTAGCAGTCCTTAGCAGTGTTTAGTAGGACCGTTAGAATCTTACTTCTAAAAACACTATAAAGTGCCAAGAAATGCCAACACTTTCCAGTTACAGATAATTATTTGTTTATCTATAAAACTTTTGTGTTTGTTTAATTAAGTATTTTAGTATTTTCGGAAGTTATATGACGTTCATCTATCTAACAGAAAAAAAACTTAAGAAGTCTGATAACATTCTGTTATGTGTCGTGTTAACACACACACGCGATAATTATACGGTTAACTGTTGGCAGAAATATGCCACCATAGTTTACTTCACCAAGTTATACTTAAAAAATTGTTAACAAACCAAAGGAAATTAATCCATTAGGCCTTCGTTTAAAAGATGATTAAGATAAACTTAAAATTAATCCAGACAGTATCCTTCAAAATGACGATGAGGATATTCCACCTTGGACTTATAATTCCACGGAAATAAATATTAACCTTTCAAAAATAAAATAGACATCAAATTCACCTGAACATTTCAAAGAGAAATTTCTAGGAATTAAGGAAGAATATGAAGATGTCATACACATTTATACGGACGGTTCAAAAGAAGGTTGCAAAGTAGGCGCGGCTGTGTTTGAAAATAATTTTACATATAGTATGAGGTTAGCAGATAATGCATCAACTTTTACTGCTGAAGCAAAAGCTTTAGATTTAGCATTGTCATTCATAGTACAGCATACTTATGATAAATATGTTCTATTTTCTGACTCGCTGTCTGTTTTTATATAAATTAAGAATAACAAAACTGACCTCATGTTTCTACAATTACGTCATTTGACCACTATGTTGAAAATGTGATGTCACCGCACATTATTATATAAATAGCGATAGTGAAATAATTGAAATTACCACGCGACGGTACACTTAAATAGGAATTATCAGGTCCTATAAAAGTTGAAATTTTAGTAACTATAATACAATAATAATTATAACTTAAGGTAGAACGCGACACTTTGCGAACTTTCGAGTAGCGTCTTGAAAATTGGCAAGCAGAAAGTTGACCATATTTCTGATTTGATTCTGTTAATTTTATTCCAATAGTTTCAGCCAATTTTTGTACACAAGACGTCAAAGTTGACCATCAAAGCCCATTTTTTAACATGACGTCGTTGCGTATCCTTGGCAACTGTTCAGGTATTTCAATGTCACTGTCGGACAAAATATCTTAAATTCTACAGTATTCGACGGAAATTATTTTTTCCTTTACGCTGATATAAAATTTATTGTTTTACGCCGAAAAATGTTTGAAAAATGGAAAGAATAATGTAAATTTTATGTAAAATTTGACGTTCACTTTAGCCGCATTTTTCGGCTTAAAACCGGCTTATTAATAAATTCATGAAATAAATATTTGATTTTTTTCTTTAAACGTCTTTTTTTAAATGTATACTTAGTCAAAATAAATAAAAAAATTAGGGAGTCACCGACTCAATTTTTCCGGTACACGTGACTTTATTTCCCCCACCCCTTTGGATAAAAGTCACGCTATCATGAGGCGTTTGTTACTTTAATGTTATTAAAACGATCGCCCTGTGTCAAAATCACGCTATTAACTGCATTTTACGCCATTATTACCACTGTGGAACATATATGGATATAATAAAGGGTACGGAATTCGTATATTATAGATAGACAGGTAAAAATAAGTGAAATCTGAATACTTAGATGAACGGGATCGTATATAATGCAATACGTATATGACTAATTTACCGTGATCCGTACACTCGTAATATACAGGAACTTTGAATGAAGTCGTATTTACTAAGATACCTATTCTTTTTAATAACACGGTCAGATATTACCAAAATATGATTTGTTTATTCTAGTAAATACAGATTTTCTACATAAAACAGAGAATGAAGATGTACTTCAAAATTACCCACTTTCTACAAGAGGAAAAAAATAATAACATTAAATAGTGAAATAATATTTCCTGGTTTTATAAACATGTCAGTTGCATACTGATTAAATGGTCAGTGAACAGAACATATAAAACATCGACAGATCCTCTACAGTGCCCGTAGCATGTACAGACAAAAAAATGACAATATGTATCTAAATATCTTTATTTTGTATAAAGATTTACAACGCAATACTCCTATCTCAGGACCACCGGTTCGCGTATATGTTCTGCTAAACATTCGAAGACGTGTATTTACAGCGTTTCATTATATTTCATGTTTAAAGTACTGTTTCTAAATTTTCATATTCAAAATAAATTCTACCATAAATTTGGCTAAACTGTGAATAATGAATTTTTGCAAAGGTAATGTTTTTTGATAGTAATGTTTTGTATACAGCGTTTATGGTGAATCCTCAATTAATCGTTATTTTTAACATTATGATATTCTAAAATGATAACTTAAACGAGAAAATTTGTATTAAAGATGTTTATTTACTTGTAGAATCGAACTTGCTACACCTGTTATTCAACACCCACTGAGCTTACGTTTCAAGCATGACTGTTGCTTCACCCTAATATAATTGACTAAATTTCATTTATGAACCGTATGTCAATATTTCGCCAATTATTTAGCATATACTCTGTCAAATTGTTGCGATAGTTTTTGATTACAAGTGAAATTGTTTTAAATAGGTGAAATAAAATACATATCATATACAGTATATCACTCATAGTGTGGGTAATGCAAAATGTATAGATTTGCAAAATTTCTTGGAGACTACGAATTAATTTATGATTGGATTTCCGTAAATTTCTAAATTGACGTAATAAAATACATGTTTAGTTGTTTTTTGTTCCTTATGGCTTATTTCTCGATTAAAGTTTAATGAATCTTAATGTATTAAAATATCAAAAAGTTGCACTGCAATGAATAACTCTCAATTTGTATTTGTTTGCGCAGCGTATGTGTCGCCGTTGAACGCCTAGTGTCATTTTCTTTGCATGCGTCTGTTCACGATTCCTTAAGAAGTTATTAATCATGCTTCAAAACAAGAAAAATAATCGGATTTTTTTTTCGTACATTATTTTCAGCAACCATAAACGTCACAGAATGGAAATGCGATAATATTTCACTTCGACCAAGCCCATGATAGTTAATAAGACAATTTTTGTTACATATCTTGCAAGTTTCGTACACTGCTGGCAGTTCCTTTTTTGCTCAAGCAACACGTTATATTGAAATGTATCTGTATTTAGACTTTACTAGCCTGGGTTCCAGTCTTTGCTTCTGTTGAAAAAATCGAGTATATATCAATCAGAAATTGTGACGTGCTTGTAGGAAAATGACGCGTATTTTAAGCGAATAGGCAAAATATCAACGCCTAAATTTTAAGCGAATAAGCAAAATATCAACGCCTTAATCCCAGGATAAGATTTTAAATATAAATATGCTTTTTCATCGTAAGGTCTCATTTTAAATTTTACGAATTTTCAATGGAACATTGTTGTTTGATATGTATAAGTAAACCTCTAGAACAATTCTTCTGATAAGCTGAACATTATTGCCGCACTTTGAACTCTCAAACGTATCTGCATACGTCGAATTTCGTTACAAAATTACTCACGGAGTGGGGGAAATAAAATGACGTGTACCGGAAAATTTGACTCGCTGACCCCCTAATTTTTATTTATTTATTTTGACTAAGTATACATTTTAAAGGACGTTTAAAGAAACAAATCAAACATTTATTTCAAGAATTGTTTAATAAGTCGCTTTAAAGCCGAAAATTGCGGCTAAAGTGAACGTCAAATTTTACACAAAATTGACAATTTTCTTTCCATTTCTCAAACATTTTTAGGCGTAAAACAATAAATTTTATATCAGCGTAAAGGAAAAGATAATTTCCGTCGAATGCTGTAGGATTTAAGGTATTTTGTCTGCCAATGACGTTGAAATACCCGTAACAGTTGCCAAGGTTACGCAACGACGTCATGTTCAAAAACGGGCTTTGATGGTCAACTTTGACGTGATGTGTACAAAAAATGGCTGAAACTATTGAAATAAAATCAACGAAATCCAATTAGAAATATGGTCATTTTTTTGCACGCTACTCAAAAAGTCGCAAAGTGTCAAGTTCTACCTTAACTCATAATGTTGATAGTAAATAAAAACAATAAGGAAGTTTACAAGGGCTACACTGCTAAAGCACTTGTCAAGCAAAAATATCAAAACATCTAATAACTGTCATATGCATTCAAACTAAATGCCTAATAATAGACTATACATGATTATGCACAGGCGTATAACTTAAAGGAAGATAATTTCATTATATTATATGCATAGTACAAACAACAGTAATTTCGTCTTAGTAAAAATGATATTCTTCGTGGTGAAATATTGTTTACAAATATCTTCTTTGTCTGAAATACATGTAAACGTTTTATCATGTCATTTTTGTCAGCTTTGTCATACTTTTGTTATATTGTTACAAATAAATTCTGCTTGAAAAGCTCCATAATCTAGTATAGCAAATGTACTTGCCAACAAAACTTTTCAGCTAACTTACTGTTAAAAATGCTACCTTATTACAATTTACACCACATTACATATGAACTGTTTTACTATAATTGTATATTTATAATTTTATGCTGCATCAAGTATAAAGTTTCGTCAACTGTGTTAGAATGATATGCTACGTTATGCTTTACTATACTATGCTGTGATTAGTTGCGCGGGACTATGCTGTGTCTTTGCTGTGCCGTGATAAAGACTTATCTCACACCCAACTCTCCTCTTTTTACCTCTTAATCAAATATGACCAAAGTGAAAAAAATAGAAAAAACTGATTAGACATATGTGGTTTTGTTTCTCATGGCATGTAATATAATATACATTGTAATTATAAAAGTAAATGAATATAAATGTTTCAGTTTCAGTTTGAATACACTAGCATGATTAAAATGTCGATCTTATAACATTAAGAAACATTGTATTTATTTATCACATTTATTAATTTATATTTCCATTCAGACTGACCTGTTTCGAAAATGCTATAATGGAAAGTGAGGAACTGGATTCAGATCTGTTTACGAATTGGGTTCGAGGCTCAAAAGGACTAGAATACTTAGAGGAAGGTCTTCAAGAATTTGTTGGAGAAAAGGTACTGCAATGTCGTGATAATACCCTTCGAAATATAATATTGACATTACCACCTGGATCACCACAACAGTGCAACCAGTGTACTTCACATAATCTTTCTCCAGATCATTTCAACACTACAAAGGCATGTAGCAGACGCACATGCACCCAAAAGAGTCCGACTAACTGTTTTGGAAGCAGACCTGTAGGGCGTAGGAAATGCCCTGGTGGCATTTGTAGTAAATTCTACGACTCAATTATACACGAGCATGTATTTGAAGACCCCTTATGGAAAAACACTGACCCAAGCACGTGGTGTTCGGATCCTTATGGGTGGAGTTATGCAAAATGTTTCCAAACAACTAAAGGTCCAGGGACATCAGCTAAAGATACTGATGCTGCTGGTCTCTTAAGCATTATTTTAAACAACAAGTCAATGCAAAACTTTGTGACCAGTATTAATCCTCATAACAATACTAGTTCGTTTCATTTGGTAAGTACAGAAAACCGCCAATAATTTATAAATGATTTTTATATCATCAAACATGTTATTTAATTATTGAATAGACTAATTTTATAGCCATTTAATTAAACACATTTAACTGTAATCAACAAAATCAGTGTGTTGTATATTCAGAAAATTAACGTAAACATTCAATGAAATATGAATTCGAAATTCAGAATTTCTTTAGTTCTTTAGTATAACATTAGAAGTATAAACACATTAAAGTACTTATTAAAACCAAATATTCCTTTACTATAAGCAGAAAAAATAATGTTCTCGTTGATACATGTATTACAAAAAAACAAAACAAAAACACAATAAAGAACGAAATAATCATAGGAATAATGTGATTCCCCTTCTACATGAATGTATCATAAAACTTCTTTCAGGCGCGAGATATCCGTAATAAAATATTACATAGCCCAAAGCTTGAAATAGACGAAACAACTGTGTGTTCTTATTTGGACGCGTTCATTGTAGTTCTTCAAGATCCAAAGTGTCTGATTAACGATGATGCATCAAAGAAAGCGGTTTATAAACTAACACAGGTACATAATTTTATTATAGAAAGACAAATATGATATATTAATGTGAAAAGTGAGTATATGCTTTGATTTCAAGTGCTCGTTGAACTTCTGAAGGAATGGCATCCGGTTGTATTCGAGTTATTTCGGTATATTACATTGAAATAATGACTGAATACAAAGGCTTAAGGAAATATTTTATTAATTACAATAAGCTTATTAAATCAATTGTCACTTTCTCTTATACATGTTATACTCGGTATTTGGTTGTGCATTCACATTTGTCTCAAAACCGATGATTTAACATTGTTCTACTAATGTTTTGACCAAGGGGACAAGACAAAAGAAAACAATTATTAGGAAAGAGCAATCATGGGTCAATGTCAATGTTGCTGAAATAGAAAATAAAAAGGTCCAGTCTGATAATTTAATTTGTATGAATATGACATGATAAGACAATAAAGTGCATAGCTTATTTGAAAAAAAGGTCTATGACTGCTTTTTGACTCCATGGGGTTACGGTTAGGGTCAATGTTACTACAAACAGAACAATATTGTTTCAGATTAATAGCTATAGTTAGGGACTAAGTATGTAGCCAGCAGTTTGTCTATTTAATCGATATAATAGAAGTTGAAATGAAGAACAATATAAATGACTTATAATGTGGCATATTTGACTAACAAATTGATATTCCGAATATATAAAATTGTGATAAAGTAATTTTTTCTCTTGATTGATTAATAAACTTCTTTAAAAGCCATATCAAAGTTGTTCAAAATAAAGTTATGTAAAGTAATTATTAATTTTTCATTTGTTGGGAAAAAGAATTGCTATCACTGAAGTTATTCGGTTTTTTATTGTGTGATATGTTCTTGGCTACGGATAAAGGCAAAATATGGAGATATGGAGATAAGTAAATTTGCAAATGATGAAATACTTATAGAATATGATAATTGACAAAGGCAGTATTGCATTCTACTTTTAGATCTACAAAAGGCATTTGATACAGTTGATCACACTATATTGCACGTGAAGAAATTCTTTTTCTTTTTCTTTATGAAACTTCAAGCATCTGCCATAGGTAATGACATTCTTACATGGTTCAAGTCTTATATTTGATAGACAGCAGCTGGTGGATGTGGCTGGTACTCATTCTACTACTGCTCCGAGTTCCTATGGTGTCCCACTGAGGTTCATTGTAGGTCCTCTTTTATGTCTAATATATGTCAATGACATGTCTGTAACCCTAACCAATAAACTTTTATTATATGATGATGACTCAGGTATCCTTGTATCTGGTAAAATGAATCTGAAGAAATTGTCTCTTAGGCCTCGAGTCTTATAAGATTGGTTAATTGACTATAAATTGTCTTTGCATATTTAAGACAGAGTCTTTTGGGTTCAAGTTTCAACTTAAACTGGGCCGCAAGGTCACATGTAACAATACAATGAACAATTGCCAGTTCACTTAGTATAAGTTTATTTTCTGGAGCTCGAATGATTATTTTTAAGTGTTAGGTGACTATGCTCGCCGATTATATGTTGACCTGGAAATCGTTGTTCAAAGTGTAAAAAAAATATTTTAGGAAGCTTTTTCCCCTTAAAATACAGGTTTTACAGCTGGACATAAAACATAAATAATCTATTTCATGTAACTCCTATAGTAAAAGAAGGGGGCATTTTCGAAATCAGTATTTTACATATTTACTTCTCTCGCTTAAGCAAATGTTTAAGCGGAACAAAGTGTATATACTGTGATAGTTCTGTTAAACAAGGCATATTAAACTCAATGTTTTAATATTACACTTATATATGCCTTTTGCATTGTAGTTAAGAAACAACACAATTCACATAAACCAAGGAGACACAGTATCACTTCTTGAGAACAGAAATAAGGCGTTAACCGAACTTGACGAAAGAACAGCAAAATCATTGCGTAAACTTGATGAGAAAGCATTATCTGTACGGAATGCATTAAAACTAGAAGTTGATGAATTTAAGAATGCCGCTTTAGTTGATGTTGGAAACGCTGGGACATCGGTAAAGCAAACACTTATGGCAGATATTACCACAGCCGGGAAACAGGGAATACAAGACATTGCTGGGAAGACTACTGATAGTATATCTAAAATAAAAACAGCCGGGGATCAGGCAATACAAGACATTGCTGGGAATACTACTGATGGTATATCTAAAATAAACACAGCCGGGGATCAGGCATTAAAAGACATTGCCGGGAATACTACTGATGGTATATCTAAAATAAACACAGCCGGGGATCAGGCATTACAAGACATTGCTGGGAATACTACTGATGGTATATCTAAAATAAACACAGCTGGGGATCAGGCAATACAAGACATTACTGGGAATACTACTAATGGTATAGCTAAAATAAATACAGCCGGGGATCAGGCAATACAAGACATTGCTGGGAATACTACTGATGGTATATCTAAAATAAACACAGCCGGGGATCAGGCAAAAGGCGATATTGATAGACAGAAAATTGAAGCTATATCTGATATTTGTTATGCAAAAGACAACGTTCTATCTGAAATCAGCAAGGCTGGCAACGAAGTAAAAGTTTTAATGGGGACTAGCGCTGATTCGTCTGATAAGAGCGGACATGTTGTAACAAAAACATCATTTTTCCAAAAAGGTCGTACGAACTTCAGAAATCTGTTCAGCTGTGCAAGTCCAAAATCACACTTAAAGGTTCGTTTTCAACACTTCATATCAATTTTTATAACTTACCTAGTGCTTATCAAGTACATTGTCTATGTGTAGCAAACGTTTCTAGGTACCCTTTTAATTTTGATTTTGTTAATTTGTTTGCTTTGGTTGGGTTGTACGTCGCACACTTGAGTACAAGTCATATGGTGACTTTTCAGCTTGAATGGTGAAAGAGGACCTCAGATGTCCTTCCGTTTATCATTTCAGGCAGGTTAGTAAAACCATCAACGTTCTGAAAGCTATCAAAAAATCCACAGTCCGTAGGTGAATTCGACCTTATCTATGACGGGCAATTATTTTAAAATCAACGATCATGAAAAGAGACTATTGTAATAGTGAATAAATTGAAAATACAATACCTCCTACTTTATTTGAGACTTCTGTTTAAATTTCTGCGATTAATCCATCTATATCGACTTCATTTAATATATCCATGTAAGTATTTCTATAGGGGTTTAATTCTGTGAAGGCATCTTTAAAAAGACTCCAATTCATTGAAATTTAATATGTCTAAATGCATCGATCATGACATTGTTATATCAATATATAGGCTATACCTTAACTGTGATGGGCAATTATTTTAAAGTCAACGATAATGAAAAAAGACTATTGTTATTATGAATAAAATGAAATACAAGACCTCCCACCTATAAGACTTTAGTGAGACTTCTGTTTGAATTTCTGAGATTAATCCATCTAAATCGATACTTCATTAAATATATTCATATGATTATTTTGTATAGGGGTTTAGTTCTGTAACGGTATCTTTAATATTATTCAAAATGCTTTGAAAGTTTAAAATAGATTAATACAGAATCCCTAAAGAAAGCCCAAAGTCTAAATGCATCGATCATGACGTTGTTATGGGCTATAACTTGCTTGAAATATAACGTAGGTGTTGTTATATTTTCTGGTCCTTCGGGATCATTGATGCCAACACTATAAAGTGTTAGAATTGAGTACCGCTCAAGCCGGTGCTAGGGGGTGTGAGGGATGTTGCACTTATTCATTATCCCTCATGTACAGACTCAATCAAACTGAGTCTGCAATTCTTATGATATTTTGTTGTGATTAATGCTTCCGAGGGATCACTTAGTTTCCAGAATTTTATAAACAAACAAGACCCTGACTCCGTAACCAAGATCATTTTTTCTCTTTTATACTGGAATAGAAAAGTCATCATGCCTAATATTTACATTTTTGAATAAAGAAATTCTTTCACCACTTTCTCTTTGCTAACTCGGCATTGTTTCATCAGTTTTGATTGCTTTGTAATTTTCTTACTAATATTTTGATTAAAAAAAAGAAAAAGTGAGATCATCTAAGTTTCAAGTTAACATCTCTTCTAGTTCCTGAGATGGGATATAGCTCAACAGAATGATTCCTATGTAAAAGCGCCCTCAACTATGTTTGGAATATAATTAAGCAACCGAAAAGAACTTAAAACAAGAGGGACATGATGGCCCTAGATCGCTCACCTGACTTATCAAACTCATACAAACAATTACCTAGACAAGCATTCTGACCAAGTCTCATGACAGGTGAGTCAAAAATGTGACCACTACAGTGTTAACAAGGATTATCCATATTTGAGCAGTGCAACCTAGTTTTTTACCCAGGTGACACATATTCAAACTTGACCTAGAAATCATCAAAACAAACTTTCAGACCAATCAACACAATATTTGGATCACAACAGTAGCCACTAGAGTGTTAACAAGATTTTTCTATTTTAAGCTCCGGTGACCTAGTTTCACATCCGAGATGTCCCATGTTCGATTTATTCCCAGCAATGACCTCGACAAGTTTCCTGACCAAGTTTGATGACAATTGTTAACAAGGTTTTTCTGAGTTTAGCTCCTATGACCTAGTTTTTCATCCGAGATGAATCATGTTCGAACTCATCCGAGCTATCACCTAGACAATCATCTTGATCAAGTTTGATGATGATTAATGCAAAAATGTGACCGCTAGAGTGTTAACAATGTTTTTCTATTTTTAGCCCTGGTGACCTACTTTTTCATCCGAGATGACCCATGTTCAAACTCATCCGAGCTATCACCTAGACAAGCATCTTGACCAAGTTTGATGATGATTGATGCAAAAATGTGACCGCTAGAGTGTTAACAAGGTTTTCCTATTTTTAGCTCTGGTGACCTACTTTTTCATCCGAGATGACCCATGTTCGAACTCATCCGAGCTATCACCTAGACAAGCATCTTGACCAAGTTTGATGATGATTGGTGCAAAAATGTGACCGCTAGAGTGTTAACAATGTTTTTCTATTTTTAGCTCTGGTGACCTACTTTTTCATCCGAGATAACCCATGTTCGAACTCATCCGAGCTATCAACTAGATTAGCATCCTGACCAAGTTTGATGATGATTGATGCAAAAATGTGACCGCTAGAGTGTTAACAATGTTTTTCTATTTTTAGCTCTGGTGACCTACTTTTTCATCTGAGATGACCCATGTTCGAAATTCATTCGAGCTATCACGTAAACAAGCATCTTGACCAAGTTTGATGATGATTAATGCAAAAATGTGACCGCTAGAGTGTTAACAAGGTTTTTCTATTTTTAGCTCTGGTGACCTATTTTTTCATCCGAGATGACCCATGTTCGAACTCATCCATGCTATCAACTATATAAACATCCTGACCAAGTTTGATGATGATTGATGCAAAAATGTGACCGCTAGAGTGTTAACAAGGTTTTTATATTTTTAGCTCCGGTGACCTACTTTTTCATCCGAAATGACCCATGTTCGAACTCATCCGAGCTATCACCTAGACAAACATCCTGACCAAGTTTGATGATGTTTGAGGCAAAAATGTGACCTCTAGAGTGTTAACAAGGTTTAACTATTTTTAGCTCTTGTGACTTAGTTTCTCATCCGAGATGACCCATGTTCGAACTCATCCGAGCTATCAACTAGATAAACATCCTGACCAAGTTTGATGATGATTAAGGAAACAATGCGACCGCTAGAGTGTAAACAACTAAATGTGAACGGACGACGGACGGACGGACGACGGACAATCATCGATCCTAAAAGCTCACCCTGAGCATGCTCAGGTGAGCTAAAAATACAACTCTATGTAAAATAAGTGACCCCCAGGGCGGGGCAATTTTAAACCAAAGTGGCATGACTTATACTTCTGTTGTAAAGGTCCACTAGGCAATGCTACATTTAAAATATCAAGGATTTTGGCTGAGCTGTTTCTTAAATGAATACTACAATTTATTAACGTTTATAAGTTTAAAGACACTAAGTACACAAACGAACGGATCAGTTTTGACTTGAACCGAGTCTGCATGCAATTCCCATGCAATTCTGTTGTGATTAAAGCTTCCGAGGGATCATTTTGTTTCCAGATTTCATATAACTTTTGGCATTCAATTTTTCAAAAAGAAGGTTTTAAGACTTTTCTTTTTTCTTTTAAGTCTATGTGTACTAAATGGCCAAAAAGACAGGGATATTTTTTTATAAAATGACTTGCCCTATAACTATTCTGTAAAGGTGCACTAGCCATTGTTGCATGCCAAATATCCAAGCTCCAAGAATTGCAGTTTTACAAAAAGACCTACCTTTATTGTTTTATGTTTGTCTTTATAAATTAAGTGATCCTAGGGCGGGCAAATATTGACCGAATTGGCATACTCTGTAGAGGACCTCAATACAATGAAAGACCATACATCGCCTGTTTAACAACCAATTTTTTAGCTCGCGACCCCCGTATATGAATGTCATTTTACATGTCTTGAATGATTTTGGGCGAAGAGTGAGGGCACGTTACCAGATGGATAACGTTATTTAAAGACCTCGTTCCGGTACTGCATGAGAAATGGCAGACCCTGTCTAACACTTTAATCAGGCGTTACGTTCACTCCATGAGGCAGATAATTCGAACATGTTTTGCCAGTTACGGGAGCGGCTACACACGTTACTGAGTTGTTCTTTCAAACAATATTGGAATTAATTCATTAATTCGGAATCTCTTATGTCTCGTTCACTATCGCCTTTCATTCCTGATTTTTTTGGACCCTAGGTCAGAATTTATTTTAATGTGTATAAATTGTTTCTTTTGGTTAGATCAGTGTGAGTAAATCGAAACAAAATCTCAAAGGAATAGATTGTAATCAGATATACCAATAAGAAATCTAAATATGACCATTTTCAGTCCATGTAAAGTGTTTATTATTTTGCTGAGTTTAAAGCTTTTGGGCATTGTTATTTCATTTTAGAACAATATTGTAAAGATTTAATTTATTATTAAGACTAGTTTTAGATTTTTGCCCTTTTCTTATGTATCAAAATCGAAACCATTATATTACCATATTTAGAGGGTCATTTAAAGATAAACCCTTTTGGGTATGGGGGTTTTTTTTTTTAATGTTCCTTTTAAATCAAATAAATTAAATGGGGAAAATATGAAAAACGGCCCTGGCGACCAAAAACATAACTGTCATTACAAAACAAATGCCCTTTGAGTATGATGTACTCTGATGAGCTAAAATGTTATCCCAACATCCAAATAATCTTTGTGGTGTGTTCATCTACTTCGAGTTTGGAGTTACATATCCTTTTTAAAATATAGAAAGGAATACTTCTATAACTTAAACTATATTCTTTTTGCTCTACATTAGTCAAATTTGAGATATCAACTTGAAACATCATAGATCTTATTCAGGAGCAGTGCCTTTGCAAGAATATTGTCTGTACCTTTCTTATTTACCTTTTTTCTTCTTTTGTCTGCAATGCTTATTATGTCTCTTTTTATGCTATATTTTGTTCAGAGCGTACCTTGAAACGTGTTGAATCTTTAAAGCTATATAGAAATGTTTTAAAAAGAGCGCAATGCACAGATATGATAACTGTACGCATCATAATTTTGAGTAATTACCCTTGATAATTTGTATTCTTTAATTTTGTTTGGGCTATAACTCGATAATTAATAGAAAAATCTGTTTGAATTTTTTTAGATATATACATCTCTATTAGACGGTGTGCTATGCACAAAAGTGATAACTCTCCAAACTATTGTTAACTCATGCTTATATTTGTCCAGAGAAGTGTTTAAGATATTCATTTCAAAGTTTGCTGAATCTCATTTATGAAAAGTGCATAATTCAAGGGTTATAACGTTCTATATTCTTTAGTTATTTCCCCTTTTTATAATAAATACTTGTTGGGTGCATGTCTGTGAATATCAGTTTGAACATTCATATGAAACTCACTTTTTCATATTTGTTTCATATTCTTAGTTATTGCTCTTGCTATTTTCTGGCTTAATTTTTGGACAAAACTCGACTAGTTTTGTTTTCTCGGGTATGTAGTAGTTGAACTGTTAATCCGAACGTCTG